ATCGTGTCTTCTCTCACCGATTCCACCACCCCTACCCTTCCTACAGAATCCCCTTCATCTCTGTCCACCTGCCTTTCCTTCCTCTCCTCTATTCCCACCTCAGTTCTTTCCTCTCCAACCTTCCTCCCCTTACTGTTACCTCCCTCCTTCCTTGCTTCCTCCCCGTAAACCTCTCCATCTCTAAGGATTGTAAATTGGCTTACAAGAAATATGACTGTTACCTCTCTATGGGTGGGAAGATCAGCAAACACCTTAGCGGATGGGTTAGCTAAGCAGGGCTACAAGGGAGCAGTTATTTTGGGCTGCTTTGTAATTTTATTTATGGTTAACTCTGTTTTACTTTGATGTAATACTTCTCTGAAGAGGTAACAGCTCATGCCTCTTCAGTGGTGTTATTTTCTGATTTAATAAGTTTCTTCATTCATCAAACAAAATTCCTATTTCTAATATTTCCACTTCTTGAATGGAAAAGGATGTTTCCATTTAACTGTTTTCTTTTTAATCAGAAAAAGGAGAATTTTATTTAATTACAATATTCTGTTACATAATTACAGCAAATACAAAGCAGACATTGCACAACAGAGGGTTACATTAAAGCCCAGAACAGCTGCTGCCTATGAACTCCCTGTTTGGCTAATGAATCAGCCATCCCATTTGCAGTTCTCCTGATCCATGTGAATGAGGCATTGAGTTCCCTTGCTAGGCTTTCAATTTCTGTAAGGGGATGTCTATAAATCCAAGGTGTATTACCCCTTGAATTGGTCCATAATATCACTACTTTTGAGTCCCCTTCTACCTCCAAATTCTTAAGATCTGCTTGCTTGGAAAGTTTTAAACCCTGTAGTATAGCTAAATCAGCCTTTAGAGAATCACCTTCCCCTAGAGTCCTGAAAACATAGCTAATACTTTTCTCGAGTAGTCTCTGATCACACCGCCAATTCCTACCAGTCTCTGCCCCAAGCTTCCTATAGAGCTAGCTCCCTCCAAAATTAAGCTTGACTTTGTTGAGACCTGGGGTCTTCCACTCCACCTTTCTTTAATTCTTTCTTTCTTTCTTCTTAGAAGAGTGTGCCACTTCATTCCACACTCTTACTGTCTGTAATCAAGAAATCTTGAAAGAGCTCAAGTGTTCTCACCCATTATGCAACTTTTATCTTTATGGTCTCCACTAATTCTTCATTTGACCTGAACGTCTCATTGAAAATTCTTGCATTCCATTCCTCCCATACAGTCTACACCATTGCTGCCCTAATTGATTTCCACATGACCATTCTTCTTTTTGTTGGTTGCCTTGGGAAATCTTTGTTGAAGAGGCTTACTACATCCTAGGGAGTACTCCACCTGCAACCAAAGAGAGAACAGAGAGATTCCTAAACAGAGAGCACAAATGGGCAATGGATCAGTAAATGGGGTAGGGGTTCACCATCTGTAAAACAAAGAATACACATGAGGGGAGAGGCATTTATTTGGCCTTCTTTTTTGAAGCATGTCACAGGTGTTCAGCCTCCTAATAAAAACCTCCCAACACAGAGCTTGAATTTTTGGTGGAATGGGCTTGCTCCAAATCTCTTATTCTATTTCACCGGGAAATTCTCACTCCCAACAGGATTTTGCACAAGAGTATTAAAAAAGGAAGCACAGGTAAAGGTGCCATCCGATGAAGTAGACCAAACTCTAGTGTCCTCCAAAGATTGAACCAAAAAGACTGATTTAAGTTTGTCAAGCAAACAAATAAGGGACTTACACTCGTTATCCCTCAAACCCCTTTTGAAACCAAAATCCCAACTCAGACCAGAGTGAGAAAAAGTGACAAAATTTGATATAGATTGTAACTTGTAGTGTAAAATTGAATTAAGTTCAGGGAAATAAGAATAAAAAGGAATATCATCCAACCATAGGTCTTTCCAAAAGAGCACCCTAGAACCACAACCCACATCAAATCTAGTGAGATTAAAAAAGATTGGATATACCTCTTGTTTTGCTTTCTACGTAGAGCTCGAGGATGATGTGGGAGCAACTTATACATCCCAACTATTGTTCATCAGCCCATGAATGCTTTCTATAATCTTGTGCCACAGCCTGTCTCTTTCCAATGGAAACCTCCAAAGCCACTTGACTAACAGAGAAGTATTTCTGTGAACTAAGTTCCCCAAACCTAGGCCTCCCTTCTCCTTTGTTTTGCTAACTGGTTCCTACTTTACTAGGTGGTCCCTCTTTTCTTCCCTAGGTTCCTAGAGAAAATTCTTCATAAGTTTTTCTAATTCTCCTGCTATTGTAGTTGGAATTCTAAAGGTGGACAGGAAGTAGACTTGTAGGTTTGCTAGAGTTGGTCTAATCAGGGTTATTCTCCTACCTTTGGATAAGTAATTTCTCTTCCACAGTGCCAACTTCCTTGTAAACCTCTTTACCACTGCCTTCCAATAGATTTCTGATCTTGGATTCCCTTGCAAAGGTAACCCTAAGTACTCCAATGGCCATTGTTTAACCTCACACCCCAGAATCTCAGCTAGCACTCAAACTTTCATCTTCCAAGTTAATCCCTGCTATACAACTCTTTCCCCAATTTATCTTCAACTTAGAAATTGATTCAAAGGAACTAGTTAGCTATTGCAGATTTCTTATACTCTATTCATCAAAAAGAAAAAAAAAATAGTCTTCCTGTCCTCCATCATCTAAATGTGTTATCTCTGATCAGCCTCCACGATCATCCTACCTACTTAGAACATCAGCAATAAGTGAAAAGGAAGGGAGAAAGGGGATCCCCTTGTTTCAACCCTCTTTTTGCTGGAAAGTAATCCCTAGCGATACCATTAATCATGATCGAGTATTGCACTGAGCTTAGGCATTCCTTCATCCACATCCTCCATTACTCCCCTAACCCAATTCTCCTCATAATTTCTAGAAGAAAAGATCAGTCCACGAAGTCATAGACCTTCTCTAAATCCAACTTGCACACCAAACCCCTCCCTCTCCTCCTTTTCTCCACTACACATTCATTTGCCACTAATACCTTGTCTATAATTTGTCTCCCTTCAACAAAAGCACCTTGATGCTGTGAAATGACCAAAGCTAGTACCTGTTTTAGTCTCCCAGCTAAGACTTTTGCTATGATCTTGTAAAGTCTTCCCACTAGGCTTATTATTGGTCTAAAATCCTTTGGAATTTTTGCCTTTTTTTTTGGAAATTAGGGCAATGAAAGTTGAGTTTATTTCCATTTAACTTGTTATTCTTCTAAATGTTTCTGTGCGTGATTTTTGGTGATGGTGGTTAGGGGTGGTATATATGGTTTTGTTTTTTTTGTTATGTTTGGGTTTAGTGTGCGCTATTTGATTTTTTTTTCTTTTTTTTTTGTTTATAGGGGATATGACTGCCATAATTGTAAAGGTGTCTAGGCAATTGTGGTTTGTGAGTGCCTTCTTATCTAAGCTACATAATTTTACAAACTAAGTTCTAGGCCAGTTCCCTAATAATCCAATCAGCATGCATATAAATTGAAAAAAATATCAATACTCTTTACCAATAACATTAATTTTCTCTCAAAATGTAGCAAATTATCATATTAAAGGACAATGGCATTTTAAATCAATTAATTTCAAGAGTAAGAGTAAAGGACAAGGGGCAGCGCCATTTTTCTATTTAATGTAAGAGAGCTTATAAAAAAAAGAAGAAAGCTCTTTATCCTTCTATTTTTTTTCTTATTCTCTTATCAAACCCTTGCATCTTGCATCTTTTATATTTTAATGATAAAGTGCTTACAGAAAGCATAAATAATATAAATAATATATGATACGATGTAATCATACAGTAATAATATGTAGTCATAGTACTAACATTACAATAAGGCTGATTTTTGTCACCTAGACGCGGGTTGGTGCCTAGTTGCCCAGACAGGGGCCTTTTTTATATGAGCTATGGTGTTTTAGGCGATACCATGACAACTATGGTGGCCACAATGTTGTGTTTTTGTGTTGACTCGGCCTCCTGCTTCTGTTTATTTTACTCCTTTCTCCTTTTCTGTATCTTCTTCCCTCTTTTTTTTTTGATCAGTATATCTTCTTCCCTCTTTAATCTCTCTCTCTCTCTCTCAGTCTCTCTCAAGTATCTTTTTTTCCCTTCAATCTTTCTCCTTTCTTTCCCTGTCAATCTTGAATGTGAGTTTTCTGTTGACAAAAAAGAAAATGTTATTTTGACCTTTTATGTGATGCTTATTTGATCAATTTGGAATCTCTGAAGCGGTGATCAGTAGAGAACCCACCACCCCTTTTATGTGATGTTTTTGCTTGCCCTGTTTCCTTTTCCTTGATCTCAGACTTCTTTTTTGCATTGAGGATGCCTGTTTTTGCTCATTGTAGCTTGTTATACATTGTCTATGCAATCATATGAAGTAGCTGACATACTTTAAGTAAATTAACAAAGGCTCCACTTAATTCCTTGACACTCTCTTCCAGGGCGATATAATTCATCTTGGGGACAAACTAGTGGCTTAAGAAGTTCAGATGCTCATACTCCAGAGGTACAGGTAATTGAAGGTTCTCTATTGTTGTTTTTATGATCACTACAAAATTTTGACTGGATTGTTTTATTTTGTTTAAATTTTCCTTAAATAATGTGATGAGAGATTGGATTTTTTGCTTTTGTAGACTTCATATGATTGTGATATGCCAAAGGAGTCCGAATCTCCTCGTTTTCAAGCATTACTTCGAGTTACAAGTGCTCCTAGGAAAAGGTTTCCTGCTGATATTAAGAGCTTCTCCCATGAATTGAACTCCAAAGGTGTTCGACCTTTTCCATTTTGGAAGCCTCGGGGCTTAAATAATTTGGAGGTAGTTTTATGACCACCTAGTTTCTAAATACTGATTAGAGAATATATTGCCTTTTCTTCTACCATCTCATCTCAGATTTGCTTTTATGATGTATCTGTCTTAATTTATATTGGTTGATGGTTCTTCTAATGTTCTCTTTTGTTTCTGGCATTGTATATTATTACAGGAGGTTTTGGTTGTCATACGGGCAAAATTTGACAAAGCAAAGGAAGAAGTGGACTCTGATCTGGCAATTTTTGCAGGAGATCTGGTTGGTGTTTTAGAAAAAAATGCAGAAACCCATCCTGAATGGCAAGAGACCATTGAGGATTTGTTGGTTTTGGCTCGACGTTGTGCTGTAATGTCACCTGGTGAGTTTTGGCTTCAGTGTGAGGGCATAGTTCAGGATTTGGATGATCGGCGTCAGGAACTTCCCATGGGTATGCAGAAGCAGCTGCACACTCGCATGCTTTTCATCCTCACCAGATGTACCCGGTTGGTGCAATTTCACAAGGAAAGTGGGTTTGCTGAGGATGAACCTGTTCTTAGTCTTCATCAATCTAAAATTATCCATTCTGCTGATAAACGAGTTATATCAGGCCCAGTAAGGGAAGGGAAAAATTTTAATGCTGCAAAGGGCTCAAAGGCAGCATCAGCAAGGAAATCTTATAGCCAGGAGCAACATGGCTTGGATTGGAGGAGAGGGCATACAATACAGCCCATGAATTTAGTCTTGCCTCCTGATGCAGAAGCTCAAAAGAACATTGAATCACCTGCAAGCAGGGACCGAATAGCTTCTTGGAAGAAACTCCCATCTCCTGCAGCAAAAAATCAGAAGGATCCTGTGCCAGTGAAGGATGATTCCTTACAGGTATTAAGCAACAGGAAAGAAAGTTATGATGCAGATATGGCTGCTATTAAGTCTCCTGAACTTCCTCCTACCAAAGATCTACATTCTTCTGCTCCTTCCAAGCATCAGCATAAAGTTTCTTGGGGTTACTGGGGGGATCAGCAGAATATTACTGATGAAAATTCGATAATTTGTCGCATTTGTGAGGAGGAGGTACCAACTTCTCATGTGGAAGACCATTCAAGAATCTGTGCTATTGCTGATAGATGTGATCAGAAAGGCTTAAGTGTCAATGAGCGTCTTATCAGGATTGCTGAAACTCTTGAGAAGATGATGGAGTCCTTTGCACAAAAGGACATGCAGAATGCAATGGGCAGTCCAGATATTGCAAAAGTCTCAAACTCAAGTATCACTGAAGATTCTGATATTCAATCTCCAAAACTCAGTGATTGGTCCCGCAGGGGCTCTGAGGACATGCTTGATTGCCTCCCAGAGTCTGATGATTCTGTTTTTATGGATGACCTAAAGGGTGGTCTACCCTCTATGTCATGTAAAACTCGTTTTGGTCCAAAATCTGACCAAGGAATGACAACATCATCGGCAGGTAGCATGACTCCTCGATCTCCATTATTGACTCCAAGAATCTGCCAAATAGACATGCTATTGGCCGGAAAGGGTGCATACTCTGAACATGAAGATCTTCCACAGGTATCCTCTTGTCTATTCATTTAATTACTTACTCTACTTCTTTTGCATGGAACTTGCTAGAGTATGAGTTTTTTCTTTGGGGGGTGGGGGGGGGGTACTGTATAGAACATTACCCTAGTGCATGGCATGTGCCAGGTATTCGAGTGTCTAAAGATGTTTGGCACATCAAGAAATAATGGCATGGGGATGCATCCATAAATAATTTTTTTTTTCTGAAGATAAATAAAAAAGAAATTTATTATGAAAGAAGAGAAGAGGACTACAAAATAGTGAAAAGACATCACTCATCCGGAACAACAAAAAACAAACACCAAAATTATCTCACCACACCCCAAAAACCACACTCAAATCCCAATTGAAAAAAAAGCCTCAAAACAACTCACAACCAGACTTGTAGGGATCAATTAGAGTAAGGTTCTGTTCGTTTTCTCTGAAATCTGACATCTGAAAGTGGTCCACTTTCTGCACTCCTCCCCATACACTCCTCACACCCCTAGAGTCCCCTCAACAAGAAGGGCAAGAACTTGGACTCTAAATTTTGATGCAAGTGCCCTGGGTAACCCTGGAGTTGCCGGTATAGGGGGAATCCTAAGAGGTGAAAATGGACTCGTTTGCTGGGTTTACAGTGGACCAATTGGATTAGCTGACTCCACAAAGGCTGAAGTATTAGCAGCTCTAACAGGGGTTTGCCTAGTCAGCAAACTGGGTATTCAGAACTTCTCCATCGAAGGCGACTCAGCAAACACCATAAAATGGTTAGGACAACAGGAAGCTGGACCGTGGAGACTTAGTCACTTCTTATCAGAGGCAAGAGATCTATTGTCTCTTATGAATGCTTCTTTGTACTGGATTCCAAGGGAGTTAAATGCTACTGCAGATGGTTTAGCAAAACTAGGTGCYAATCTGGAGTCCTTGTATTGTGACAAATTTCCTCCTGTATAACTCTCAGGGGTCTGTCCCCTGTTATGTATCTGTATACCTCCTTGTGTACCTCTTTCTCTTTTTAATGAAATCAGTTCATTTTTCTCAAAAAAAAAAAATTACATTAAGAGTATATTGGTATTGGTGAACTTTTCTTTCCTCTGAACTCTGAATGTAGAGAATGCTGTTTTGAACTTTGAATTCTGAAAATTATCAAATATCCATTTTGACCCCATATATGAGAGTTTTTGTTTGTCTTTTTTGGGGTATCATTGGAAAACAAAAAACTTGTATGATTGCACTTTAAGAGATAAGAAGTAAGAGGAAACAAACAACCATTTTTCTCTTAAAAGTTAAAATATTCCTCTTAAGAGATAAGAGTTAAGAGGAAACGAACAGGCCCTAAGAGTTACTTTGATTAAGTCTACTTTAGCAAACCTTCCAGTTTTCTTCCTCTCATTCTTTAAGATGCCACAAAGGGAGATGCTGAAAGTAGAGAAGATCTGGAAGGAGTTCTTATGGGAGCCTGGTGAAGGAAGAAAGGATCACCTGGTGAGATGGAATTTAGTATGCAAAAGTAAGGAGAAATTGGTTTTGGGGATAGGCAGTATAGGGAAAAAGAATGTTGCTTTGTTGGGTAAATGGCTACGAAGATGGCCTTTAGAGAGAGAGAGAGGCTTTGGCATAAGGTTGTAGGAAGTATTCATGGATGTGCAGGTAATGGTTGGGATGCTGGAGTGTCTCAGCGGGCCACTTTGAGCTCTCTTTGGAAGGCTATTCATGGTATCCTTCCCCAATTCCTCAGCCTTGTCAGGTATGATGTGTGTATTGGAGATAGGGTTCTCTTTCGGGAAGACACCTGGATTGGTACTCCATCCTTGAGGACCTTTATCCATCTTTGTATTCCCTTTCCCTCTTTAAAAATGAACCCACTCAAATCTTTGTATTCCCTTTCCCTCTTTAAAAATGAACCCACTCAAAGGTTTGTTTTTTTCTCCCAGTCCTCTGGTTACAATTGGAATTTGGGGTTCAGAAAAGACTTAGAGACTGTGAGCTTGATCAAGCTGCTCTGATACTCAAAACCCTTGACACAGTTTGTTTGGATTACTTTAAACTTGATACTAGAATTTGAACTCCCAATTCACTGGGTCTTTTTTCTTGTGCCTCTTTTTTCTCTCAGTTGTGTTCTATCCCTAACTCTCAACCTTTATTTTGTAAGGAAATCTGGTCTAAGCCCATCCTCCCTAAGGTGGGAGCCCTTTGTTGGGAAGTCTCTCCTTGGGAAATTAAACACCTTGGATAACTTGCCAAAGAAAAGACCCAACATTTGTAAATCCCCAAGCTAGTGTGTCCTTTGCAAAGCTAATGGAGAAAGCTGTTACTGTCTACTAAATCTCCTGCCCCTTTGTTGTGGAACTTTGAGAAAGGAAATTTGGTCTTTTTGGNAAAACAGATGACAGAGTTATTATCATTGGTCACTCTAACTGTCCCCTTCCCAGCAATGGGCATATGTGAACCATCTGCTGTAGAGACTCTGTCTCTACCAGAGCACAAYTGATAGGAACTGAAAATGGTAGGGGCATTAGTCATATGCTCAGATGCTTCTGAGTATATAATCCAGGGAGGTCCCTCCTTACTTGAAGTGGATGCAAGATTCACAGTTGCATATGAACTACCTGTATCTGCAAAGGAATTGTATAGTTTTCTCTTGCATTCTGTTGTCCATCTGGAAGGCTAGTGCTGGGTGAATCTTTCTTACTCATAAGCTGTCCAAACCTCTCCAATTCTGTTCTCATTGCTGCTACTGCAATGGATTCCCAAACAGTTTGGGAGAGAGGGGCTAAAGAGTCTCCTGTAGTGGCTACTTTTGCATTTCCCTTCTTGTTTCTTATTCGAGCAGGCATAAGATTTGGATGAAGCTTCCAACAAGTGTCCTTGGTATGCTTAGGCTTATTGCAATAATCACACACCAAGTCCTTATCTTCCCTTCTAGTCTCACTACTCCCCCTGTCTCCATTTGGCCATAGCCGACTGATCAATCCCAGGCCGTCTCAGCATTACATTCATCCTACTCTCCTTTCCATAGACAAAAAGCATAGGCCTGAGAGAGTGTCGCACCCTCCCTAAAAAGAATATGCTGCCTAGCAATGTCAAATTCAGGGTTCAACCCTAACAAGAACTCAAAAACCCTATTCCTCTCTACTAATTTGTGATAAGTTGCTGCATCATTTACACTTTCCCATACCACAGTTTCTAAGTGATCTATTTCTTGCCATAGGGTTTTCAGCATGGAGAAATACACAGCAAGAGGTTTTTATCCCTGTTTCATACTTATCACCTGATTTCTTAACTGATAGGCTCTGTCTTCATTTTTCTTCTAAGAGTAGGTTTCAGTCACTCAATCCCAAATCTCCTTAGCGTATTAGCCTATAGGAATTTTTTTGCAATATGAGGTAACATAGAATTACACACCCAAGACATTACCATGTAATTCTCTTGCATCCATCGAGAAGAGTTTGTATCAGGTTTCTTCTCCCTAGTGAGATACCCTAATTTTCCATGGGCACCAATAGCCATGTTAGCTGATTGTGCCCACTCCAAATAATTTGTACCATCAAGTTTTACTGTAGTAATGATCGCAGACCAAAAAATATCACTACTACCTCCAACACCCAGTCCCACAGTACCGGTAGAGTTCATCTCGATATTCCAACTCTCCATTTTACTTCAAACAGTTCAACAGTAAGAAAAAATAGATTGGAGACCTTCCAAAAATAATTTAATACCACACACACAGAAACCAATCCTTCCGGAAGAAGAAAACCCTAGCTRGAGGGAAATCTCTCTCCTCCCCACGCCTCCCAACAGAGAGAAAAGTGAATCGATCACTTCGGGAGGCCTAGAAAATTTCAGAGACCAAACCGCCATCTTCAGAAAATCAAAAGAAAACTAACAATACCTGGGCGCCCAAGATCAGATAAAAAACAAAGAGTCCAACTTTTCTGGGACTCTTCCCCATACTCCAGTTGTTCCTGATTTTGATGCCGAACAGTAGATCACCTTTCTGATGTCTAG